CCCCCCCCCCCCCCCCCCCCCCGACCTCTCTGAGTCTCTGTTTTCCCACATGTAAAACAGGAATGTGAAAACCAACCATGCTACAGAGTCTGGGGAGATAAAGCGTATACACCAGTGAGTCCTTGAAAGGGTAGTGCCCCTTGAAATCCCAACTACTTAGGAGGCTGCACTCGAGCCAAGTAGTTCAAGGCCAGCTTGGGTAACACTGTGAAACTCCCAGCAACAAAACAGCTTTCAATACAATAGTATTTACTTACAATAGTGCCTGGCTCATAGTTAGCATTCTACAAGCTTTTACAGCCAGTTTCCCAGGGGTCTGAGGTTAAAGCCCTTCTATAGCTTGGGCATTGAGGGGACAAAAAGAAGTTAGATACAAATGTAAGAATAATCAAGGACGTGAAGTCCTAGCATTCTCTCTGTTCAACCCTTAGAGATGGCTTCTTATCCTCACAGGGACACAAGATGCTGAACCACAGCACAGGGTCAATGTCACAGCTTCGGAGTTTCTCTGTGTAGCTTTGGAGCTGCCCTGGAACTCGCTCTGTAGACCAGGCAAACTCATCTCTTCAGGATCTCTAAGCCAAGGAGCTCCAGCTCCCAAGACCAGGTCCACCCTGCCTCTTCCCTGAGAAAAGCCCCTAGGAGGGAAGGGCTGTCCTGACGTGTCTCCCGTGGGCTCCAAGGAACAGAACCAGCTGCTTGAGGCTGTGTTCGGATCTGAGCTGGCTAGTCACCGACTGGGCGCCCTTGGACAAGTTTCTCAACCTCTCTGTGCCCCAGTTTTCTCAATGTGAGAGCAGCTCCCCCAAGGGTTCCCAAAGCTCGGCAGAGTTCTCTCAGCACCTGGCGGAGTCACAGCAGATCTGTGGGCGCCCTGACGATGGTTTTAGGGTTATTCTGAGCATGTCACACAGGGCCCTACCCAGGTTTCCAGGAGAAGGGGGAGTCAATGACTGGGCTGCTGACTAAGGAGGGATTTCCCGGTCGTGAATCAGCCCGTTCCATCCACAGTCAGCCGAAACCCACCGTCCTAACTCAGGAAGAGTTTCCGAACACAGAACACTCTCACAGTCAGACTAGAAGTCGCCGGTTTGGGACTGTCGCCCGTACCCTCCCATCTCCTTGGGGGACACTAGGATAGGGGAGAGGGGGTTTGCGGGCTTCTATCCACAAGTCACAGAGTAGGGGGTTCCAGGTGTTCCGGCCCAAGTACCCCAATCTTGGCCCCCGAATGACTGGAGAGAGGGGGAGGAGGGGCGGGAGGAGGGGCACAGAGCCCTTCCCTCAGTGACCCTGCCTCTTGTCCCACAGTCGGGGTATCTGGGGAGGCCAGGTGGGTCTGGAGGCTGGAGCACGGGGATACAGGGGCGTCTTGGGTAGGCCCTGCAGAGACTGGGGTCGTCTCCCTGGAGGGCGGAACAGGGACACGGAAGGCAGGAATGGGGCAGTGCGAGTCTCTGAGCAGGTGTCCCTCTCAGGAGAGAAGCGGCCTGAATGGGGACCGGGTGGGCCGCGGGCGGAGAGGCGCGGGGCGCGGGGGGTGGGGCTGGCCGCTGGGGAGGGGGCGAGGTGCGAGGCCTGGGGCAGGCCGGGGCCTCACCTGCTCGAAGGCCCAACTCTCGGCCACCCGCTTGGCGCTGAGGTCCAGCAGCGGCTCGGGGCGGCCGCGACGGGCCCCGGTCCCAGGCTCGTCCCCCGCGGGGCAGCCCCGGCTGCGCTTGGCCGCCGGGGGCTCCATCCGGCCGGGCCGGCCAGGAGACGCGGCCCCTTTAAGACTCTTCACAACAATGAAGCAGTCTCTGCAGCCGCTGCCTCCTCAGCCGAAGCCCCGCCCCCGCCGTCCTACCTCTTCCTCGCCATTGGTTGTCTCTTCAGACCCGCCTCCTAAGAGCCGCTGTTCATTCGGTATAGGCCACGTCCGTCTTTCCGGTGCCATCCAATGAAAGGTCGCAGGGCGAGGCGCTGTCCATCACGGAGTGGGATGAACCAATCAAAGCGACGGGACCCCACGGCTCGGCCTTTTGAGGAGTTTCGGGGCGGCCCCACATTCATTCACAACATTCCTCCCCCGCCCCCGTGGGCCGGCCTACGAGCCTGGAGGCTGGGGCTGCGCCTACACACGGCTTTGTTTACGGAGGGTCGCTTCCGGGCGCCGAGGGGCCCCCGGCTGACGCTCTCTGCGCGGTGTGACCCCAGAAACTCACGCAGCCTCTCTGGGCGACCGTTACAGTGTGGGATGCCTTAGGAGCCGGCTGCGGCCGGCACAGCTTTCCTAGCTGCGCCGTGGGCTCGTGAGCTGCGAGCTAAGACAGTTTCTACATCCGAGAACTGAAATTGCCCGTTGCGACCATTTCGACCCATGAGAATGGCAGTTTCGTTAAGTTCGACTTGATGCGTGTCAAATGCCCCACCTCGAATCGGGAAGCCAGCCACCGTCTTCTCCACCCTGCCCCATGACATAAGAGAACCCTGCGTTTTCCTACCCTCGCGGCCTCTCCACTATCATTTATTCATCCGGTCCAGTATGACACTCCTCCCTCCTCTCCCTTCTCTCAGCAAGGTCTCATTATGTAACCAGAGCTAGTATCCTGATTGGAGAGCCTCCTGCCTCATCCTCCAGAACGCCGGGACGTCAGGTTTGTGCTGGGGTAATCTGGGCTCTGAGCTCCATGGAGCGATATGCCCTGGGGGGACACGGAGCAGCGCCCAGCATACAGTAGACACTCCTCCGTCCTGGACCTGTTGACCCAGCCACTTTATGCTGTCATTCCACTTAGTTGACTCAATCCTGAAGGCAGGAAAAACCCAAACTGGCCCCCAGAAGCCGGCTAGGAACTCTGGTTCCCCTCCAGGCCTCACAACTGCACTATCTGGCAATGGTCCACTGTTTCCTTCTGGACCTACTCCCTACCCCACGATGGCAACCAATAGCCGCTAGGGGTCTGTGAACCCTTCAAACAGGGCTGGTGCAAGTGGGGTCATACGGTAGAAGTAAATAACACATTGGAGGAACTGGAGATATGGCTCAGGGCATCTCTCTTAAGAGCAGTGGTTAATCTTCCAACCCAGAAACTTGGGTTCGATTCCCAGAACCAACAGTGGCTCACACTGCCCTGATCTCAGCGCCAGGGGATCTTACATCCTTAGAGGGACCCCGTCTCAATAACAACAGCAGCAGTAGTAATGTCCTAGATATCCCTAACTACCCCTTCCCCCGCAACGGGGTTTTTCTGTGTGGCCCTTGTTGTCCTGGAACTCACTCTGTAGACCAGGCTGGCCTCGATCCATCTGCCTCTGCCTCCTGAGTGCTGGGATTAAACGCGTGCGCCACAGCCACCACCACCCAGCACAGACTGTTTTCTTATATAACTAATCCACAACAACTTGCCCAGGGGTAGCTCTGTTCACAGCGGACTGATCCGCCATTAATGAAAAAATGCCACTACAGTCTTGCTTATCAGCCAAGATGATGGAGGAATTTTCTCAATTGAAGTTTCTATTTCCCTGGTGACTCTAGCTTTTGTCAAGTTGACAAAAAATAAAAATAAGTGAAACAGAAAAAAAAAAACCAAAACTAACCAGCACAAACAAAGAAATCTTTATTAGGTTTTTGAGACAGGATCTCTCCACATAGTCCTGGCCGTTACCTCACTACGTACACCAGGTTGGCCTTGAACTCAAGAGACCTACCCTCCTCTGCTGCCTGATTAAAGGCATGCACCACCGCAACCAACCTGAAAAAGATTTTTTAAAAAGACTTTTAGGGTAAAATAAGATGGCTAGCTCAATGGTTCTCAACCTTACTGATCCTAGACTCTTTAATATAGTTCCTCATGTTGTGGTAACCCCCACCAACCATAAAGCTATTTTTGTTGCTGTTTCATAACTGTAATTTTGCTACTGTTATGAATCATAATGTAAACATTTTGGGAGACAGAGTGTTGCCAAGGGGGTTGCGACCCACAGGTTGAGATCTGCAGGCTTAGTGGGTAAAGGGTCTCCAGGTCTCCAGGAGCAACAGACACACACATGACGCACAGACATACATTCAGGCTAACCACCCATACACACAAAATAAAAACAAATTCCAAACAACCACAAAAACACAACAAGCCTATCATGGTGCTTTTAATCCAAGCATATTAGTATTTTCATCATAATCATCTTCCTTTCATGTTATTATTTTTAAAAATTGCTCATTTATTATTATATTGTTTGTGGAAGCACATGAAGAGGACCGAGGACATTGGGTCAGTTCCTTCACTTTACGTGGGTGACAGGAGGCAGACTCTGCCCTCCAGCTGTGCTCCGAAAGTGCCTTTGCCTCTCCAGTCATTCACCAGTCCTCCTTTCATATTATTAAGAAAAGGGTTTTGATATTTTACTTATTTCTTTTTCCTTTTTTTTTTTTTTTGAATGTTTTTTTGAGACAGGGTTTCTCTGTAGCTTTGGAGCTTGTCCTGGAACTAACTCTTGTAGACCCGGCTGGCCTCGAACTTAACAGAGATCCACTTGCCTCTGTTTCCCAAGTGCTGGGATGAAAGGCGTGCACCACCACCACCTGGCGATTTTACTTATTTCTGTTTTATATGTTTGGATGTTTTGTCTGCATGGATACCTGTACACCTCGAAGTGACCATGGAGGCCAGAAGAGGTGACAGGCCCGCTTAACAGCAGGGGGCTCTTCACCACAAGTGAGATAGCTGGGGATCAGAAAAGCTGACGGGGTCTGAATCTGAGTTCAGGAAACGGGACAGATGAGGGAAGTGAGGTCCAGCGAGGTCAGGAAGCTGCCCACAGTCACACAGAGATCTTGGTAAAATATGGGTGTCAGAGGAGAGTCAGGAAGGTTTAGGGTGTCCCCTGAATTCTCAGCACTTGTTTCAAGCATGCCCTCTTGAAAGCAATACTTTTAGGAAAGGAGATGGTAGTGGTGTTGTTCCAGCCACTGGTGCCCTCCCTCTGCTAGAGCACAGAGGTTCTGGCTTCAGGAAGTGCCAGCCATGTCTACTGTGCCTATACCGTGAAGTGAGTTCACCATCTAGGCACCTGACCCCAAACCCAAGTGCTTCCAGCCCAGAGGTGAAGTAGGCTGCCCTACGGGCTCAGGTGAGCGAGGAGACACAGATCTGCAGCTTGGGGGACATGTGTCCACCCTGACTTTCTGAGGGTCCCTGTTCAGCCGGCACTGCCTGCAGCAGTCTTGCTTGTGCTCACGCCTCAACCCCGCAGCTCTGCTGGCCACTTCTACTTTGTGACTCTGCTTCCTTTTGGGAACACACGAGCTCACGGGGAGTGTTGCCAGGGAAAGTGACATTCCAGACACGGAAAAACTGAGTCTGAAATCACATTGATGGTCACCTGGTCCCGGAGAAGGAGTCTCTAATGACAGTTCATGACAACACTAATGAGCCCCAAGTACTCTAGGCTCCTGCTCTGCCCCACTAGAGTGGGATGCTGGGGCCCCATTTTAAATAGATGGGGCCATGGTGGCTCAGAGAGGTTAAAAAAAACTAGCTGGCAGTCTCACACACAGTCAGGAGGTAAAACCCGGCACAGACTGACAGACATGGTTGGGCCTGCTTGTCATCCCAGCACTGAGGCCAAGGGAGGAGTAGGTCAAGTTTGAGGCCCATCTGAGCTACACAGAACTGTCTTAGAACACAAGAACACGCCAGGCAGTGGTGGCGCACGCCTTTACTCCCAGGACTTGGGAGGCAGAGACTGGAGGATCTCAGTGAGTTCAAGGCCAGCCTGGTTTACAAGAGAGTTCCAAGACAGCCAGGACTGTTACACAGAGAAACCCTGTCTTGAAAATCCAAAAAGAACACAAGAACAAAGCAACATCATGTAGAATTTGAGGTGCAGGCTATTGGTATCACGGGGGACGGGGGGGGGGGAGGAAGTAAGGAGAGAGGAAGCTGTCAAGGAGGCCCAAGGGACAGGTGTGCCATCATTCCCGGTCCCTGGCCACTGTCCTTTTGAAGAGGACTGGCATCAGAGCTATTCTCAGGGCTTCTTGGTTTGCCTGCAGAAGGTTAATGGGTCCCCAGCACCCACATAGTGGTTGACAGATATCTATAACATAGTTCTGAGGGATCCAGATCCTCCTTCTGACTTCAGTGGGCACCAGGCACACAGGCGGTGGTGCACAGACATGCATGCAGGCAAAACACTCACACACATAAATAGGTTGAAACTTATTTTTATTTATTTATTTATTTTTGGTTTTCCAAGACAGGGTTTCTGTTTAGCTCTGACTATCCCAGAACTTACTCATATAGACCAGGCTTGCCTCGAACTCAAAGGTCTGCCTGTCTCTGCCTCCTAAGTGCTGGGGATTAAAGGGGTGCACCACACTGCCCGGTAGAAACTGTTTTTTTAAAAGGAGCACGCTCTAAAAGCATCTAAGAATGTGCCTGTGCTTGCTGAGTGGGGTGGGCAGCAGCTCAAAGGGGCAAGGTGTGTAAGTGTGGAAAAGTGGAAGAGAAATGACTCTGGGGACAGGGGCTCCCTAGGCAGCAGTGGGCCCACCTGCTGGAGCTCACAGCTCAGGGCTGCTCTGCAAGTTCAAGGCAGCAGCAGGGCTGGAGAGGGCAGCAGTGCAGTGCCCCCAACACCAGACTTTCTCTCTTGGAGGAGACGCTCCGTCCCCACTTCTACTCTTCTACACCCTCTGTGTACAGGTTTAGATGGGAAAGACCCGAACCAAACCAGCAACGGAACACACAAAGCAGGGCGGGAAGAGGGCTAGCTCTCGGCAGAGCTTCTTTAGGG